ACCCCAACAGTGAACGCTTCTGTGGATTATATTAATAATTTTTGGCCGTGGACTTTAACTGTATATCCAAGCAACCGTTTAATTAATATAACTCATCACTGTATTTTTCATAATATACTGTTACAGTATCATCTCATTAACCTGGATTTTTATTCACATACTTGTTATGTTATTAAGCTCGCTAGACAGTCCCCTACACTCAGCTGACGAGCTTGGCCCGAAACGAACGAAACGGCTGTCCAGTGTTTAGATCACGTCGATCTGGCCAGCAAGTGCTGCTGATTTATACGAATGGTATGCAACTACTCACCTCAATTAACCAGTAGTATATGGTTGTATGCAAATATACTTATTTCTTGATTACCAATCATGGTATCAAGCAGATCATATATTGTAATCGGAACAAATTGGTTCCCAAAGGAAGCTAAGATGAAATTTCCCCACCTGAACTTAGCAGATTGCAAATTATGAATCTGATTTATGTTAGAAAGTTTTAATCAACGATATAGAGAAGCTAGTGCCTTTCATACAAAATCAATTTGTTCTCATACTGTACTAATAATTGACCTATTTATATCTGATAGCCAAAAAAGATGCATACTTTTGCTTTACTCTTGCTGTGTAAATGTTATGTGGTATCAACAGTCAATATAGTATTTGCCAGGCGATCACCAGCTCTATATTATACAGATTCACTCTTAGCCTTCATAAGCAGCTGATAAACTTACCTCTTCTCTAAACTATTAGAGAATGGACTAAGTGAAAATCGATTTTTTTTTCCGTTTTTGTGTTTCTTTTTTCATCGCTATCATATATATACGGTAATATTTCTTATCATTAAATATGTTTGTCAACAAATGGTTATTTTTCACTAAAGCTTATACTCTACAAACGCTGAATAAACTTAATCCGTATTTTCGGTAGTTTAAACAAGTTTCATCCCTTTGTCAAAAACAAGGAACAGATGGACCACATTCACATTTTTATAGACTTATATGAAATACATAATATGTATCATATTGGTTACAGAATTTTATCAGTTAGAGAACCACTGGAAAACCAATTGGGAGTACTGGACGGCTGTTTCGTCCTAGTTTGCACCCTTCAGTAGTACTTACACACCACAGAGGTTCCAGCCCAGGACCTTCTGTCTACAAGTCTAGCGATCTCGTAGACCATTAAGTCACTGAGACAGGATGAGATCGCACATCAGATGCTCACTACCGACTGGCCCTAACCAAATAGATAGTTTTACCTGGGATTCTAGTAAGTAGTCGTCACCATTAGGGTGCAGAATGTCGGGTGTGAGGACAAATACTCGCCGAACACATTAGCTAGTGGTCACTCTTTTGTCGTGGATTGACAGAAGCTGGAATTCATGGACTGGCCATTGGATTGGGTCCCAGTGGCTTTATGGTCTACGAGATCACTGGTCTTCTAGCCAGAAAGTCCTATGTTCGAACCTCACTGGGGTGGGTACGTACTACTGAAGGGCGCCAAACTAGGACGAAACACCTGGCTGCCCAGTACTCCTAGTTGGCTTCCCAATGGTCCTCTAACCGATGTGAGCTCATAATGAAATCCTGTAACCATTCAGGCAATTTCCTACAAACCAATACTTGAACATTTCATATTTTCAGATGAACGTCTAATGGATACTCAGCATCAACTATAAAGATTTATTTCAGGCTTACGCTTGGAGCTAGCTAAGATAAAGTTTTCTGTTTAATCTTATGTCTTAGTTAGTGTATCTTGAAATATGGCCTTAATTCTGAAAACATCCGCTGAGTGTTAGAACCCATTTTCATTCATTCCTGTATAAGATTACAGTTTGCAAAACAAAGCAGTTTAGTTCACGGATTAACAAAAAATTTGTCTATGATGCTATAGTATTTCCGCGATGGGTTATGTGGAAACCTCGTATTTCATTGAGTCTCATAACAAACCTTTAAATATATCTTTTAAGAGAACCCAAGAAACTCATCTTTCATTTTTCGATTCCTAAGAGGAAATTATTTGTAGAATAATTTGAACTTACGTAAACTGCTTTGATAATTCATTAATAAGGACTTAATTATTATTATCAGAATTATATATCTGCACTGTTACTTGTGTGAAACAACAGACTTTACCTAGGAATGTAGTTTAAAGAAGAGTTCAGCTACTGTTATGTTTACTGTGAAATTTCAGCACATAATAACGTGAGAAAATCGGACGTTCTTAAAGATTGATTATTTAATACCTCTTTACCAACTCAGTGTACAGCATATGCAGTAATATAGATCAGAAATGACTTCATTATAATTATAAGCAGACAAAATTCCTCTATCACTATGTAAGAAAATATAAATTAACCAACTTAAATATAGAAATGAGACCAAATATTACTCCAAATAAACCCATTTGATGATGGTTAATAAGCTGATTTAAAATGCACAACAATGACGAGTCTTGTAGGACACGACGACATAATATTAGCTATTCCATTGTAACCAACGTATGTGTCTGTTATGGTCAATCCATAAGAGTTAAGTGGAAATGCTTCTAAACGCAACAACTGTTAGTGTAAATAAATACGTCTTGATGAACAATGTCAATAAGAGCGGAAACCTAATTGGTAGGCTTTTAGTGGATTTCCTTCAATCATGCTGACTAGTCTCAAGTAGGACGAATTGAATATCCTAAATTTAACTGGTAGTCACCATCAGCCAAATTAGATAAACGACTGTAATGAGATATCCTAACCCTGGTATCCATGTAATGCTTGTTTTTTATCTCCATTCAAAACTTTTAAAATGGGCTCCTTATCAAAGGAATATTATTTTATCAAGATATTTCAGCTGAGGATGATCTCTTCTAAGATTTCTTCGGCAGCATGATTTCATTTCAGTGATAAGTGTAACAATATGGGTGTATTTAAGGTGAGTTTCAAACCTTCCGGTTGTATAACATCTCTTCATAATGATTATAAATTAGAATATGTTATACTATCAGAAATTTGGACTAGCATTTTGACAGTTTCTCTTATTTCAGACGATGTGAAAGCCATATCAGAAGAATAAATTCCGATATGATATGAAGTAATTGCTCCATAAATTGTCAGCTTACACTACCAACGATCAATAAATAGTACTCAAACAAATATTAGAATTCAGGGGACTATAATGACCATCTTGGATACTAAACTAAGCATTGATCATAAATTCACATGACTTGAAAAGGGAGAACTTAGTCATCATACTGACTATTGAGTGATTGCAAATTTTATGTGTGGAAAGACTCTTCTTCAACATTAAGGCTAATAGGAATGTAATTTCTCATACGTCTAGGCAGCGCCATTGCTAGAATAACTTGCAGCTCAGGTCCTAATGAGCCAAGTTAGACTTTATATATATATATATATGGTTTGGAAAGTTCTAGACTGATATAAGAGCACTCTAACTGACATTGTTCGGTCTCCACAAGAGTGATGCAAATACACTTATTCGTTATCATACCTTTGTATTCTGAATTTCAATACTACTTATATGGGTTCAAGTGCCCAACAAGCACTCACTTGGCCAAGGTTCAATTCCCAGCCGGGGCACCCCTAAGCCCAGCACGGTCGGTGGTTAGAGCGGAAAAGAGAGGAGGTTGTATGCGAGGCTGGAAATTTACACAAACCTCTACTGAAATTTCGAAGCTAAAGCTTGAAGCCCTATTTTACAACCGGAAGGCGGGGGAATAAAAAACTTAGTTGCTTGTTTTCACTCATTTTTATTTTATTTGGTTTTAATCAACTAACCAAAAACATCATTATAGTTAATTGTACAAGCTGTTATACATTTTATATTTGTTAGTTTCATATTTTGGAAGAAAATACACTTTCATTTTGTGACAGTGAGGTATGAAACCCAAGCGTCAACAAAAAGGTTGGACTTTTTAATAGATCTAAGCAAGCGACAAATAAAGTCTATTGGCAACTCTCTGTAAGTACATCTTGTAGATACTGAGTATACAGTTGATGTTTATAAATTACTTAAGGTTATCTATCGTACACCGACTATTTGCACACTTGAAGAGCAGTCTGTACTCATATGGATTCATGAATGGCTATCAAAGGACTAATACGTCAAGGATCGAAGCATATCGCAAATACAACATAATGTCGTCAGATGGTATACTGTAGACTACTGTTTTACTTTAAGATTTCGCATAAGGAGTACATAAAGGCTACCTGTAAATTCTATACTGAATGCAAACATTTTGTTGAGAACACAACTATTCTTCAAATATTGGTTTGTAGGGATTTTTGTTTGATTGGTTGGAGGATTTCATCATGAGCTGACATGGTTCAGAGAAACACCTTAAAATCTGGGAGCATTGAACAGCTGCTTACTCCTAGTTTGGCAACCTTCACTAGTGCGCACCCACCGGGGTTCGAACCTAGAACCTTCTGGTTACAAAACCAGCTTTCTCGTAGACCATTAAACCACTGGGACCCAGTCCAATGACCAGCCCATGAATTCTAACATCTACCAATTCGTGATTTTAGCGCAACCACCAACCAATATCATCGGTGGAAAATCCATCTACACTCTCAACTGGATGGACCTTACTGGTCATGAATTCTTCCTGGAACCCCAAGTAACTGTCTATCTGAATAGATCCAGTTGGTAGTGAGCATCTCATGTGCCATCGCATCCGGTCTCAGTGACCTGATGGTCCACGAGATCGCTGGGCTTGTAATCAGAATGTCCTGGGTTTGAACCCTGTTGGTGTGTGAGTACTACTGCAGGGTGCAAGCTAGGATGAAACAGCCGCCCAGTACTCCCAATTGGTTTTCCAGTGTTTCTCTAACCAATGTCAGCTCATGATGTAATCCTGTAAACAACTGTTTTTATTTATTATCCATTTAGACTGAAAAATTCTGTTTTCGAATAAAACCCTTTTAGTCAACACAGAACATATTCAAAAACATGTTAAGGTAATATGACGTGTACTACTGAACACTGAATTAAGTAGTTGTATTAGTATTGGTAATAATGATTGTTTTGGTATTTGAATTGAAGCATATTGTACCTCACTCTATTAATAATCAGTAATTAAATCCAAACTACTGAGTGGGTTAATGAAACAAAATTCTGGCTTTAAGTTATTAGTTTTGTTATTTTTAGTATTCTCAAAGGAGAATCATTATTGAAAAGGTCTGAGAGACAAACTTCGTTTCAATTAAATTAATCAAGTGAAATTATTTACATTTTTTTAAAATTGTTCACATTCAAAAGCTTCATCTCAGCATTCAACCTACAATAAAGAGTAGTAATCATAATACTAAATGCGTGATGTTTTATGTTGATACGTCTAATTATGTTAAACAGACAACGTCAAATGTTGATGAAAATATATGATAAAATTGTAAAAAATATAAAAATATGATAAATTGCACGACTTCATCAAATTTTACTTCATTTTCAAAGATATTATAAAAGCATTTCACGTCAAACTACTTAATATCTTTTAAGTAGTGAGTTTCAAATAGGTTATATTATCATTATTGCCTTCTTCGTTTTATTTATTTGGAAATGTACTTCTAACCGGTCCAGGGCACCGTCTATGGTATAAGTGTAAGTCGTCCATTACACCATAACGGCAAGGTGGTAAAATATATGATCCATTCAGTGGCAAAGGTATTCTAAAAAAGAAAATACAATATGTAAAATGAAATCTTTGTATTTAAATGGCGAAGTTAAAGTATCATAGCCAAAGTCAACTTCTTTCAAAAGTTCACCTTCAAGGATCGATCAGATACAGGAATGCTGTGAAATATCATTCCAAATAGAACTTTGCCTGTATTTTTTTACTTGGATGCAGTACTACACTTACTCTCTAGGTACTTTCTCTGCAGATCTATACTGCTAGGTATGGTTACAGCTTTTAAGATTAAGGTTTAGGATCTAGGGTTAATGTTAGGCTTAGGGTTAAAGTTAAGACTAGGAGTTAGGATTATGGATAGAGACAGGAGTAGATTGGAGAATAGTCATAGAATCATCAATGGATCTCAAGGTACTTTGACCCACAGTCAGCTGGATGAATGGGTATATCGCGCATGGTGCGATTTCTCCATAGATCATGTGCTTATTGGCTGAGGGGCATTCTTGCAGCACATAAGCTACAACTATACTGTGTAAAGACGAGTTTGCAATATTATTTAGTGTATTTTACAATGATTACGCGACTTTTTCTCATCTGAATTCCGATTGCTTGTTCAAGGTCATTGTAGTTTTACCATTTAAACTATTTTTCATTTGCAATTACTAATACCAATAGTATATGAGCCGTACTAAAAACAGTAACATACTTAAAGGAGAATGATAATAAGGTAGAAAGCTATCACTTCGGAGTATCTGAAACCTTCCTATTTACTTCCAGGTGTAATATCCATAACTAGGGAATTGAACAAGTGTTAAGGTTTAATAGAATTGACGTTATTATTCACTGTGAACGAGAAAAGAACCTTCAGATTGAGGATTAATTGTCTTCTATCCCCCAATCCTAAAATAAACTCTGATGACCAGTCGAGATGTTTCACAGTCAGTGAGTTCACATAGTTTTTAATTTTTACTCTGGACTAATAGAAACCAGTTACACATATTTGCAAAAATATTCTATATACGAATTTGCGTTCACCAATGAAATTTCTGCTATTCAATCTAGTTAATTTATTCAAAAAAATGTTTTAATAGTTACTCAAATTCCTGAATGCGTTGAGGAGGCCACCGAATTACCTCGCACGCCAGGCCATCGAGTAGAATCCAAATGGGAAGTGACAAGTGGGTCATCAGTACGAGGGTGGCATGGAGGAGGTCGTGTGAGGATGAGATGAGAGAGTTTAGTCAATCGTGGACCCAGGCGAAGACGACGATAGAAAACAGAACAAAATGAAGATGTGTTGTTGAAGCCCTATGTTCCATTCCAAAAACAAGCCAGTAATAATATAATAATAATCGTCTATTTTAAAAATTACGCCACCTGATGCATTTAAACAAAATAGCCTTCAAGTTTGATTTTGGGTAATTTCACACCTAAATTATGTTTCCTAATTTGATCGCTTATGTATTGAAGTTTGAATAGTTTAAAAAAAACCAAAGGTTGGTACTGTTCAATAACAAAAAGCTTACATTAGAAAGTGACTTACTCTTCAACTGTAAACTGACGTTTTCCTTCCAATAATTCAAAACATCTTTTATCATTTGATGGGCAGACACATGCACAGTCGGAAAAAGTATGCATTATAAATTTCAACGGAGGTATGCATAGTCGATTACTACAGCTATTTTTTTTTGTAATTTTGTTATTCACATGGTCGAAAATATAACAAAAAAAAATAGAAAGCTTATCAAGTTACCATGATAATAACCATTAAATTACTAAAAACATGGTAATCATTTGTTTATATTTACTTTAAAATATTATTTTCAGAAGTATTTCCTGCAGTTTCATTTATTCAGAAAAATACTCCCCTGACTTATTCTTAATACTAATACTAATAATAATAATAAAGATTTATTTTAGAGAATATGTGAACGCGTCGTTGGCAGAAATTTTCGCTGTATTTGCTTCCAAAATATTTCCTCTTTGTACAGGATTTATATGTAAAGTAATAATCTTAATTATATCGTGTGACTTAGTGTTGTTGTATGAGGAGACAGAATCAGTTCTGTAAGTTTTTCCTTCAAGAGCGTTTGAAAAGCGTTTAGCTAGAAGCACATTAGGTAGGCGCGCGAGTTCATATTATTATCATTTGATAATAATTTCATAATTTAAACAATAAGAAATTCAGAAGAGCTTAAGCATTTTAATTTAATGAGGCTGCCAGTTGATCCATCAAGCGTACTAGCTTCCTCCGTTAAATACAGTTTACTCACTCTGATACCTGACTCACTGAGTTTCAACGTAGAACTCTACACAGAAGTGCACCAGTTTAAGCTGCCACACTTCATTAAATGCACAAGAAATACAAAAAATAAAAACTTCGAAAGACCTATAGTGATCAGAAATGAACGACAAAAGGGAGAACATGAGAACTTAATGAATATAACAGATTAAAAAGATTGAATCCATCTGTGCTACTGAGAAGTATTTTGAACCATATTACTAATAGTCTTCAACTATTACTTTATAATATACTGACGACCATAACCAGGTAGTGTATACCTCCCTACATGGCTCAAATCGACTGTCACAGTCTTCATGGACCGATGCGTGGTTTTGATTTGACCATCTTAACTCTTTTCCAACGTGATTCACAGTCAGCCAACACTGCTCGTTGAGGAAGGCGATTCCTTGACATGTGCAACAGGTTTCCTATCCGTCTCAATCAGTGTAGCATCACAAAGACAAAGACAGATAGCCTTTCCATATCTTCCGCATTCATTGACCGTGCCTTACAGTTGTAAAGGACAGAACGAACTGCTGCGCAGCACACACGTCCTTTGATAGATCACGGGATATCTCGTCTATGCCATTTATGGCGGAAATGCTTTATGGGCTTTTTATACTGATACCTACTCTTCATTTAAACACAGACATAGTGTATATGTTTTACTTCTTATCCTAAAAAAAATTAGTCATTACTTAGTTGTGATTACTAGATTCCAGAAACTTCACAATATCAAAATAGCTATTTCGCGAAAATCACACTTTAAAATAACCGAGAGTAGAACTGAAGAAAGTAATAATTTAGGATTTGAAATTACATTTGTATACCTTTTTTATTCTGAAAATAAGCAGCCTACACAATTTATAAATAAATGTATCCTTCAGAAAACCTTGAAAAGCACAAAACAGTGAATTTTATATTTTCAAATGACCTAATTTTCAGGCAAGCCCACAATATAAGAATCATAACTATGACTCAACAGTAAGCACATGGTACACACAAATTGGAAAAATACTTCATAACATTTAGCATACAGTGAGTCATCTAAATGAGTACAAATTAAAATAATAAACAAAGTGAATTGCATAACTAACTTTTGTCTCAAAAAAAAGTGAAGGCGTTTCTAAAGTGAATTGTGAGCTTGTTGTGTAACGAATATTTTCATGTGCCATTTATACACACAAATCTATGTCAGACGATTAGAGTGAATTCACGAATTTTTATAATACAAAATTAACTTTGAAATAACCTACCGTGGTTGACATCCACATTCAAGATGATTTGTTAATACAATCGATTCAGTTGAATGTTTGAAGTTTTCAAATGGTGCAATCTATAAAAACAGTAAGTACAGGAAGAAAAAGAAGATTCTACGAAACTGTCATAGGCTTATCAACCAATTCAGGGGTAAATATTCTCAGGATTTCTAATCATTTCACAACACTGACCGAAGTTTGTTAGTCCAGTATGTAGTGCGATTGTCGTTTTGCAATACTTCTTTTGAAGTATTAAAGATTGACATTTAGTGTGAATATTTCAGACCATGTTTGTGGTAACCCAACTATTAAAATGATCGAGTTTCTTAAACATCAATCTCTGTCAAAATATCTACGATAACTTTGATATAATTGAAACACATTACCTTAATGATGATTAGCATTGAAACACAGGGATCATGTTCATCAGTTACTTGGAAGTAACAATCCTACAGAAGTTCAAGCGTGAACCAGTATGTCCGATAAGTGACATCGCCAGCTGTGTCTTTTAGACGATGCCTGTTCAAGCTGTTGAGAGATTATCGGCCAATTCCTTCGAAGTTGCAGACATGCCTTACTGGAAAATGGCACTAAAAACTAAATCTATGTGCAGAGCTTCCTCCTCCACTTAACTTGGATCACGTTTTTATGTATAACCAACCTATCAACAAGATTCACTCAAATTGTTGCAAGTAATGGTGTTTCACTAACACTGTAATTCATTATCGACCTTCTAGATTCTTTTGATTAATCGATTGTATCAAGTGACAATAATATGCACGTTTTAATGTGTGCATCTGAAACTTTCCTTGGGGAAATGGAGAAGTGGTACAGACAAATTACACCTTAGCCAAACGTGAACAGCCCAAAACTTGAAATAACTGAGACGTGGTCCTCGATTTTTTCTCTGAGAATTCCGCAGGAAAAACATATAATAATTTGCTTTATTCCAAAACAGTACTTGTGATACAGAATGGAATTTTCAGCATTTTACCACAGTATTGCATCCAGTTAGTACATTATCAATAAAGAAAATTCTACATAGATTAAGGAAATCTCAGTTCATTATGACAACAACATATAGGTATGTTGGTAGCAAAGCCAAAATTGAACAGAGTGTTTGAAGGTGTTAGAAAAGTAGATGCTAGCATATTTACTGGCGTCAGCAGAAGAAAGAAACAAAGGAGCACATGACAGAGGAAAAAGAGAGAGAAAAAAGGAAAAGAAAGAAAACGTTGTACATATAAAAGATATGAACTGGAAAGACGAGATCCAGTTGTTCTACTGACTATTTAATAAGTTATAGGTGTTACGCTTAATGCTTTCTTTATCGCACAGAACACGAGCTAAGTAGGGTATGATTGAGTTTTTGTACTTCCTAGTGCGAACATATGGTTTTCTATATAGGCTTCTGTTTCTGCCTGATGAGATAGACACAAGGGGAGAGTTGTGAATGAAGAGGGTGGTGTGAGTTAGATCGAATGGATTTTGCCCATTTTTCACATGAGTCCATGTGCCTGTCAACCAGAATATTAACAAGCTTGTTAAGTGGCACGTAGCTTACCCTGCTGACAACCTTTAACATCCTGTGTAATAAGGTATAGTCTTTCATCAGTAGCCCTGGAAAAACTAAGGGGGAACAATAGAGAATAATAGGCAGAATACGGGAGTTGACGAATTGTAGGAGTAAGGGTGGGTTATACCACAATGTCTTAACTTCTTAGTGTAGAAGGTGAGACGGAATATTTTCTTAGAAATCATCAAGATATGAGACGGCCAGGAAAGATCATCAGATAGAATGACGCCTTGTTTAAATTCACACATCCGTCATTCTGATGGTTTCAAATATACAAGAATATTTTGTCTAAAGCTTTCCATTTACTGAATGGCAATATCCAAATGTAGGATATAAGTAACTTGTTGTGTAAAACGGTGTTATGTCACTTTATTTGGTGTCCACATTACATGCGTGATGAATAAATTTGGGGGAATAAATCCAGGAAACAGCTACTTTGTTTGCAACATGAAGACCCATTGGTTAACAACTGCATTCCAATATGAAACTACAATATTTAGTTTGTATGAATGTCTTCATTGCTTCAAGATTTGGGAAGAAATGATGGGCAACTACAATTACTATCTTGAATCATTATTTGAAATTATTGTGTTTCACCAGTTTCGGATTCATTAATCACCATGATCCAGTAACAGCACCCATTTATCCTCAAGGGATCATCAGAGCGTCCGTACTAGGAGCCGATATGTCGACCGAGTATTTCGATTCATTATAATCTACTAACAAATCCAAAATATTAATGTGAATGAAACAATTTTACGATGGTTCTTTATGTTTCACATCTGTTAATTTGTTCGTTATCTTCAAAAGCCGCTCAGATCTAAACGTTAGGAGTAGGATCAGTATACTTTAACATGGGCGTTTAGCCCTATATCGAGGCTCGTCCGCCAGATATATTTGCTATTCCTAGTTAGAATATCATCACTCAATGGTAATTGCGAGTACGTTCGGATGAAAAGTCCCAAAGTAGGACGAAATGTGCATCTCAGATTACACTACCACTCATCATCCACAGGATAACATCATGGTAGTCCTCAGAGGTCGTCGAATCGTCTGTAGTAAGGGCCGACATGTTAACAAAGGATGAACATAATCAATCAACGTGAAATACAAAATTAACACATACTATCGAGCCATTAACTATTATTATTCATTATTATTATTGTTTCCTTTAATTCCTAGACCAAGATAGGGCTTCAGCAACACACGCCTCCATTGCTTTTGTTTTTCTGCCAACGTCTTCACCTGTCTCCATGTCTCCCCACACTCTTTCATCTTCTCTTTGCATGACCTCCTCCATGTCATCCTCTCACTGATGACCAACTCGCCATTTCCCATTTGCGTTCCACTCGAGTGATGGCCTGGAGTGTGATGTCACTTGCTGGTTTTGTCAGAGTATGGCCAGCCAATCTACCTCTATTTCTTCCTGCATATTTCGTGCGCAGTCGGCTCCTGGTTGATTCTCCCCCTGGAGTCCCTGTTGCTGATATTCTCTGGAAGGCATCTGATCTTGAGTATTGAGCAAAGACAGCTGTTGATGAAGGTGCGTAGTTCGTTCGAAGTGCTCTTTGCGACGTGGCGCCAAGTTTCTGATCCGTGTAGTAGCACTGACTTCACACTGAAGTCGAAAATCCGAATCTTGTTTTACATGCCGAGTACTGTTGATCTCCACACAGACTAGAGAGTAACTAAAACTCGCCGTGCTTTCTCACTCTTTGCTTTGATATCCTCATCAGTTCCATCTGTCTGTTGTTGAAATGGTGCTTCCTTGATAGGTAGGTAGGTAGGTGAAGGAGCTTGCTCCTTTCAGATTTCTCCTATTTATGCTGGTTGTTGTATGTTGTTGTTGCTGTTGCCGTTGGTCAGGAATCTTTATCACCTCTGTCTCCTCCACGTTCACCTGAAGTAAAGTGTTATCTTTGATCCTACTTCTATTAACTTGTTGCTTTTCACTTGGATAACTTCCAGTTTATGGGAAATCAGACATATATCATCGGCGAAGTCCAGATCCTCTAGGTTTTTCTGTGGGTCCATTAGAAGACTAAAAACATGGTCATAAGAGTTAAGAAAGAAATCATCTTACTCCATAGACTTAATACAGTTTGTATGCTTTTAAAACTCATCTTATTTACTGTCTTCAAAGAAGTGTATCATACAAACAAATCTGTTACATGGAAAATAATTACCCTATATCTTATCATTTCTTCTAATTTCCTTTATTTTCTCTGTCTGTTTTCTATAAAACTAACTTTATAAACAAAGAAAAATCTCAGACATTATTTTCCATAAAGTCATTCTTTTCTGTATAAATATTTCCCTCCTTCTACTAAGTAAACATTTCGTGACTGAAATATGAAAGTAATAAGTTGACTTCAGGTGTAATATTATCACAGATCTGATTTGCAGCAGCCATTAGTAGAAATCTATAGTTGTGAATGTAGGTTTTCTGATCGTTTTGTTTTCATTTTAAACCTTTGCTCAGTTAGAAAAGAACAGCTGTCTAATATTCTTCATTTTTAGTCATATTGTAGCTAATTTTGTTGCGTGATAAATTCTAACCTGAAACCATTGAAATCTACTGAATGTGATTCAATCAAATTCGGATGAATCCAGATTATTTAGATGTGCCTCCTAATTTTTGTAATTATTCTAGATTTTTGTAGTTAAATAGACTAAAAATATCATTCTACCCGCTAACCCACTGTATAACAACTACTAACCGTCCAGATATCGGGATTGTAAGAATTTTCATTTGTTCCACTTTTGCTCTTTTCATGGTTTGTTACCAGTCTTAAAGAATCATTGAAAATCAGGGAGTACAAGACACCCGCTTCATCCAAGTCTGGGAAACTTTGATACAAAGCACATGAAGCCCACCAAGAACTATCAGTTGATTCATTATTCATTACAAACGGTGATATTGAATACGGTGCACAGTGTGCTATAGTGGTTTAACGTCAGAATGTCCGTTAGCCACCCACGCAGTCAAGTATTTGGTCCCCTTACAGATTACTCATATACCGCTTTTAGATGATAGTAAGTTTATCAAAGAAAGAAGGTTTGGCATGAAGCTACCAATCCCACTCCATGAAAAATAAACACCACTTCTTCTGAAACTCCAAAGCTCAGGCTAAAGGTTGTGCGTCGGTGGCACAGTGGTTAGGACGCTTGCCGATCACGCACATGGTTCGAGGTTCGATCCCCTGCTGACGCACACCTGATATGTATGGTCGGCCTGCAAAATTTGGGCTACCGATATCCATGCTCAAAATTGCATACTTGTACCAAAAATACAGTGTGGAATCAAGCTGTAATCAAAAATATTTAAAAAAATAAATATAGGTCTCATGTTCCACTCCAAATTCAAGGGAATGAAATAACAGTAAATAAATGGCGCCGATTTACAGTGGTCTACTGAGTTATATTTTTTAATTTTTTGATTATAGCTGGATTCCACACAGTATTTTTGGTACAAGTATGGAATTTTCTGCATGTGATATCGGTAGCCCAAATTTTGCAGGCTGACCATTGGTATCAGATGTGCGTCGGAAAGGGATAGAACCTCGGACCATGTGTATGGTAAGCGAGCGTCCTAACAGCTGTGGCACAATATCAATACGCTTTATGCTTCTATGGATATTCTACGTTTGCGTAAAGTTTAGGCCTTCATAATACTCATAATTATCAGTGATTCTGTCAGCGAGCTTCAGTAGTCTAGATTATATTACCATTTAAATGCTCAGAATTTCATCCAGTCTTCAGCCAAACCTTTCCTAATGAATATAACATAAACTTTGTATTCATTGAATCAATCAGTCTTATCTTAAAATTAAAACTGCAATCTCTTATAATAGTTTACTAAGTGTAAAACACTAAAAAGACTAAAAAATATATATCAATCCGTGATCAACCCGTAAAACATAACTAATCCTTACAAACCAAACTATAAAAAATATAAGTCAAATATCTATGAAATGTCGTCTAGATGAAGTGTTTCTAAAATAAGTAAGCTTCGATTGAACGCCGTTTGCAATCCTAAACACCACAGTGAGAACGATATTACATTGGAGTAATGTTAATTAAACGAAAAAGAATGACTCTTTCAATTTACCTGCATTACAGCAACAGCGTATGTTTTCAATGAAACTTTTAAAGGAAGACACTCTTCTTCAAGTGTTTCACAGTTACATGATGCATGTTGATTTCTATCGTGTAATATTTCTAAATATTGATCATCATAACTTGTATGACTGTTGGATGATAGAGTTGGAACTGATGCAAATTCATAATCTTCTTCGTCGTTTGTAAACTGGTTGGAATAATAATTACATCGTGAAATCTCCGGTTGACCACAACGTTGAACATGTATACCACGAGGTATTATAAGAGCGGTATTATGATGTTGATGTTCTTGTTGATTATTATGATTAAGCCGGAGAAAAGCCTCTGTACACAGAGTGTGATTTTGTGGTTGACATGAGACCATTTTAAACTCTTGATAGCTTTCAAAAGCTCTCTTCAATTCCTCTTCAGAATCTATGATTAAAAAAAGATTGTTGGGATTTTAGCATATATTTAAATCAGCATTTCTCGAAGCTTAATGCTGACAATAGTTAGACTAATCCATCGGAAATTCTGAATTTATAAGAAGGTTAATGAGATTTCAGTGGTACAGAACTCTTCATATGCTTAAAAAACGCTTGATACTCGAGGGCTAAGTGTGTTTTAGGTCGTTACAACAATTTTTACCATGGGGTATTGAAGAATACGGCACGCATGAAACTAAGAAACTGGCACTGGAGACCAAATGTATATAGACTGGTTTAATCGAGTGTCTTTAGGTGTATAGTATGCAAGTCTGGAATGTATGATGAAAATTGAAGCGAGATCTGACAGCGGTTACCTCCTTTACTTATTTAGGAGGCTCGGTTTCAACCAAAGACAGAACGGATGAAGATTTCAAACCCAGCCAGAATTGGAAAGGCAAGGTGCGCCTTCATCAAGCTGAAATCAGATTGGAAATTTTCTGCAATTACTCAGCATAAACAACAAGATCCGGATTTTCAACACAAATGTGAAGTCAGTAAGTCAGTCACTTTCTGTATGGGTCAAAACTTGGCGCTCGCGTCAAGAAAGGATTTCCAACACGCTACTGCAAAATTTTCCCGACAGCTGCCCACTTCGCTGGCTATATATACTGAAGATCAAATGGCTGGCGAAAAAGAATATGTGACAGGAAACTCTGGCTGTGAACAAACCAACCAAGATACGATTGTTCAACAAATATGTACAAGAAAATGGAGATGGATTTGGCTGACACTGAGGAGACCGTCGGATAACATCGTACTCAATGCAGGCCATCGCTTGAGTGAAAGGCGAATGGGAAGTGACAAGTGGGTCATCGATGCGACGGTGACATGGAGGATATCGTATAATTGGGAGGATATGAGAGATTATGATCAATGGTTGACCTAGCTGCAGATGGTCAGCAGAGAATAGAACGAAGTGGAGAATAGTAAAAAGTGATATATTCGTGATACTGATGTCCTGATTATGCATTCGGTAAATAAATTCATTCGTGTAGAGTGAGGATACAAAGATTTTAGATCCGCGTTAACGACTCAGTCAAAAGTGGTAAAGATAGGTAATGAACAGGGTGGTTGTATGATAATTCGTGTTGCTTGAGATATATTCTGAAACCAAGGTTTTACATTAGATAAGTTTAATCAATAAATTTTACTCCCAACGTCATTCAATCATTAACACCATCACTGTGTTATGTTGAATAAACTTATCTAATACGGAATTATATTCTACCACAGTGAGCGAACTCTACTCATGCATCAATTTTCCAGAGCCTTTACCAGATTGTCAGTATTAACCGTTCAAAGGAGCAAATAAGCATCAAATAGAGGTGTATCATACAGTTTTAAAATTATGGTAATTTATATATCTCTTGTAGAAATATCCACCTGTTAACACCCTACATCTAGCAACTACTTGATTTCTGATAATGTTCTTCCATTTTTATTCATATCCCTTAAAATATGAGTTTTCCCACCAGCCAGCCAGCTATTAGTTTTCACATAATTTGAGAGAGCGAACCAACGAGACACATTATTCAAATCAGACTATTATGAAGGCATAACTTACAAACATTATCGGTTTGATATCCTACAGAGTCGGTTTTCACCTCATCCGCAAGCGAATCTTTTGATATCTGCTTACCGTTTCGATTGAAAACATGCGAAAATTCTGTTTCAAGACTTGTTTTCAAAGTATTCTGTCCATCACTGCTACTGCTACCAGAAATAATTGCACGACCTTCACGACTATTTGCCTTTCTTAGCCTTAAACTGTCTGCAAATATCCCACCACCGATTCCACCAGAAAACTGCATATCATACAAATTTGAAGATGAAGTTGAATCATGCGATTTGTGCTGTTCTCCCAGTGACTGAAGATCTACACGCGAGTGAATCACATTATCATTGTAATCTACAATTTTGCGATTGTCTCTGACATTATTCCTATTACTTTTAACACCTCCTTTGACTCCTTTCGCACCGACAATAATTTTCTTAAAATCATAAAAACTCTGTACATTTTTGAATTGTTTTGCTTTTTCATTTGTTAGCTTAGTTGAAAAATGTCGTAGATAACGACGATATTCATCGAGACGTCGGTGTTCTTGTTTATAACGAAGTAACTTCAATTTTTGTTCACGTTGAATTTGTAGCTGTTGCATAAGTTTATAACGTTCCCATTCAAATATCAAATTGAATGCCTGTGAAAATGTTTTTATATTTTTAGAATTTGGGTAATTCACAAATAGAAAATAAGATATAGGAAATTATTTACTGAATTCTGAAATTAATTAAGTCTGTAATACACTGACAAACAGATTACCAATAGCACTTAAACAATACCAGCGAATATAAATTCGTCTAACACATGAGATACACACACTCCTTCCTCCGGAAATACCGTATTAAATCTATAAACACATTCCATGGCTTTTCATGGGATTAATCATTGAAGAGTTAAAGTCATTCACGCAGACAAACAGAGAATATTTGCAATCTGATTACAGGGACTGAATTTATGACTTTTGGGTCTTGAACTGATAAAGATCAACTGTAGCTCAGAATGTGGATGTTTGGACAGACCTGTTTTTCTTGTTTGACATCCTTCGTTCCTAAATAATGCGGATGGGGAACTATTTTTAACGGGAACAAGTTTGATAGAAGACTACTTCCACAACACCAACTTTCGATATTTTAGACAATGAATTTGCACTAGAGAATAACGTGTTTATAAAAATTGTCTATATTTATGCTAAATGAGTACTTTCCATCATAAATGATTACCCCATTGAATGTTGAATTGGATTCATCGGACTGTTCCCTTGAATTTTCTAGTTCCTTTTACATGTTTAAAGGACTGGTGTCATCTGTTTAAGAAGAAACATAATTTTCATTACGTAACGACAGATCAGCTATTTGTGTGGTTATTCATATTTATCTCTGTCTGTCCAGGATCTGGTACAATTTTGATGTTAGGAATTTCAAAAATGCTCAGCAACCTTTCATCTCTATTATTAGTCAAATTAGTGTATGATACAAATATGGGCTTAGTTGGACTCCAGAATATTGAAATGTTGTCTTTCATCGAACCCACACTGTTTTGAACTATTTTTTTTTATTGCAGCTTGATTCCACACCGTATTTCGGTACAAGTATGGAATTTTCAGCATGTGATATCAGTAGCCCTATTTAGCAAGCCGACAACTGATATCAGTTGTGCGTCGGAAGGGGATCGTGCATGATCGGGGATGCGTCCTAACCACTATGCTACCAACGCACTACTCCTTTTGCTTTTGTTTAAATCAGTCAAAAAAGTGTCTGAGAATTGCATTATCTTTACAGTTGCATTTCTAGAAACGTTTCAACTTATCGCTTTTTGTATTTGTCATACATTTGAGAGGAAATATCATAGTGGATGTCAGAGAGCAGAGAAGTCTAGAAACATAAATCAAATGACTGTCCATGAATTGGATAGCGTAAATTGTAAAGTGAATGGTTATTTCTTCTAATTTCATTTATAAGGGGAGTGAATTTCTTGGAATATGAAAGTGCTTAAAATTCCATTCCGTGTCATTGTTATTATGTAGATTATGGGATTTGGATCATTGTGATTTCGGTTATCAGATTACGTCATGAACCAATACCATATAGAGAGGTCATTGAAAACTAGGGGGTACTGGGCAGTCATTTTGTTCAAGACTGGGTTTCTTCAGCAGGGGTCGGACGCGAGACCTTGAGGTTACAACTCCATGCTCTTTGACCACTATCCACTTGAGCAGAAATTCAGTGACCCATGAATTTAAATATCGATCCGCAACTCATTAATTGCTATTGGATAGATTTCTTGTGACTGTAGTGGGACGTTGTAACCAGTGGGGTATTGATGAGGGTAATGCTGTGTCACGATTCAAAAGAGTTAGAATTTACTAGTGGTTGAATTTCTGCCCAGTTGAATGAATGATTAGTAAGGTTGGTCTCGTAACCTGAAGGTTCCAAGTCCGGTCGCTGGTAGGACTGGTGGTGAATAGTCCCAAAACACAGGACGGAACAGCTATCCAGTGCTCCTTAGTTTCCAGTAGTCTCTCTAACTGATGTTGGTTCGTGACGAAATCTAACAAGTGAAACAACAATATTATTATTATTATTACTAATCCTTAAATTACTATTATAACCTGCGGATTGATGTCAGCTGAGACAAAACTCGACGTAAAATGTAATGTGACTGTTGTTATTTGTGTCAAAAATATCCAAGGTCTTTTCCTTAACACAGGATATCACTAATGATAGTTTCTCCAAAATATACTTCATCGTCTTGGGAAATTTTTACTTAAAGCTGTCAAAGTTACTGACAAAAATGATTATAAAGCCCTAAGGTGGTACATTCTTAAAACTTCAAACGTAATAAAGAATAACAAAATATGGTCCTCTAACTGATATCAATCCATGGTCAAACTGGAAAAATAAATCTAATCCTTACAAACCAAACTCTTTAAAATTAATCTGGTGCTCGCCAGTGACTCGCTACAGGACGGAGTTTCTCATAGTTCTAGTGAGAAGTCGTGATCAATGAGATCTATCCAGTCGGGAGTGAGAATGAAGTTCCCCCCAATAATATTGGTTGGTGGTCGCACTAAAACCATAAATTGGTAGGAGTTAGAATTCATGGGGTGGCTGTTGAGTCAGGTCCCAGTGGCTGGGCAGTATTTGACCTTGCCTTGTAGGTCCTGGGTTCGACCCTTGGTGGTGAGTCCGTACTGCCTATGATCCCCAAACTTGGGTGGAACAGCTCTCCAGTACTCTCTGATTTTCAGTGGTTCTCTAACTGATATCAATCACTGCTCAGACTCGGAAAAGGAATTTTACGTGCCTCGATGAAGTGATTTCCTAGTTAGGCTATAAGGTAAACGGTGTTATGAACTTTTCAACTTATCAACAGCTGATATTTAAGCGCTTAACATTTTGGCAGTTCGATGAATTAGGAAGGAAAACTATGAGGTAAATGAATTCAAAAGTGTGTAGTGTTTTCGCTATCACTCTGTGTGTATGTGTGTGCGCGTGCTTTTGACAGATAAATTATTTTTCCATCCACTGAACATCTGCTTTATTGCTTTTGATATCTATATCGCTTTTATGCCTTTAAAGATGAAAATATACAACTGGTCAGTTGGTAGAATTGTCAATAGTTACGTCATCTACTAAAAAATCGAAGAAATGTTCTACCGAATCCTTTAGTAACCATTTGTGTTTTTTGTTTTTACGATTCCGACATGCGAAAAATTCAAACAAAACACATTTAGGCTTCAAATATCAGTAATCTGTGTTTTTTAATTTTATGATATAAAGAATCCATTGAACGGCTGAATATAAACTTTAATTTGGAGGAATGAATTCGGAGACATACGTGCATATATATATATGCATGGTGTAGATTAAACCTTAGCAGAAGAACAACACATGCCCCTTCACTGGGAATCTTTCACCTGGCCTTAATAAATTAATGAATGTAAAACAGATGATAAGCAAATATCTTTAAAATTGCCTTTTAAATGAAATTTAATTATCTATATTTTATGTTTTCAATATTAGCTTGTTTCTAGATATATGAATAAGATAATCAAAAATGTATGTAATACACCTGTTGGAACAGTTAGAAAGAGGAGAATAGTGTAGTTTATATACATCACTGATTGATCGCATCTACATACATATTTTATTCCCTTATGTTCCTGGTGAAACATGGGACTTAAAGCCAAAGCTTTGAAGTTTCGGTAGCAGTGGTGTTTATTTTTACCGGATAAGGTTGCTAGTTTCATGCCTAACTTTCCCTCTTTACCAGTCTTATTACAAGCTTAGTGCGGTAAAGGAGTTCGTCTACGGCTGGGGATCGAACCCTGGACCACATGCGTAGTCGGCGGAAATCCTACTGCTGTGCCACCAGCGCTTAAAAAATTATCTTTTACGTTTGACCGCTGATTAATACCAGTTAGACGATTATTGAAAACTAGCCTGGAGTACTGAATAGCTGTTTCTTCCTGGTCTGGGACCCACCATCAGTACTAGGTTCAAACCCAGGACCTTTGGGTTATAAGGCAAGGTTGTAGACCATTCAGCCACTAGGACCGTGGGTTATTAGCATGGATTCACTTAAAACAGGCGCTTCTCTGAACTACTTCTTCCTTTATTTGCACTGCGAAAATGTTGCAATACATTTTTTAAATAGGAAACGATCTTTCATGAGATCATCAAACGTCAAATTTGACTCATTGTTGACAACACTAACAATACTTTATATCAGACTGTCTTCACGAAAACCAAGAACATTCAATCGCACCAAGATAATACGTAATTTTAAAAGAAATTTCACTCCGTATATGGTTTTGTACAGAAACTGTACAACGGTAAAGTTGACGGAGTGTAAAATAGTTCACAGCTTTTCTGAAACAACCCAAAACTCCTATAATGATGCTTTTGTGTTATGGATACCATTCATTAATTAAATTGTATATATCGTCTTACTGATCATAATGTTACAAGGAGTCACTTCTAGTAGATATTATTTATTTATTTATTTATTTATTTTATTTATCAGCTTTCCGTGGCTGGAATACTAACGCGCATCAAAACGTAAGGAATACCTATCATATCCTAGTTTGGATTACTATGCACTGCACATCTGATAATAAGAGATCAAACTCTGGACCATAAGGTTTTGGGGGTGACTTGTGTTTCATGAAGCCCCTCATTCACAATCCAGTCACCCAAGATTATTATTCTCTACCTATTCACAATTTGATCCAGCCAACATCTGTTACCATTTGTGAGTAATTTTCTTCATGCCAAAATCTCGTGGTGACTGACAATCTTAAATTAATATTAAGAATTAGGAGAATTCATTTATTGACCAGTGAAAAATAAGCAACAAACCAATATTTAGATGTAAGGTTATTGGGGACTTCATCAGTATGAGACTAAATCTGTTTTACGTTTGGATGCATAGTTGAAACGAGCAGATACGAAAACAGGTAATTACATGATACGATTATAAATGGAGCAGTGTATTACTATGTAACACTTCACAATTAACGGAGATTTAAGCAGTCCGTCATTTGCCATAATTTAAGCCGCTCTATTCTGCTACTCAGAAAGCTTAAGTTGGCATTTTGAAAATCAAAAAATAAGTTAGATAATTGCCTTAACTTTACTTATCACCTATATTAGAAAGGTCTGCTTATTTTCTTTCCATAAATTCTAATTTAATCCACAAATGGAGTAAAGAGTAGGCAAAATGAAAGTAGTAAGTAATATAGAAGTGTTTAGTTTAGAATTTGGCAAGCACTAAGAACCACAAAATATCATGATGGCTACAGCACAATAAATATGTAATATATGCGTTGTAGTCACAACGGAAATCTCATTGGCAACACTGCTAACACCCATAATCTCTGACGGGGCATAAGTTTCCTACGAGGTTACAGATATGCCTTGTTAACAAGCATCGACAAGTACCAAAAACCCTCTCGACTGCCTCCCATCAATGTAAAACTACTTTGCTGACTAAATATAAATTAAAGTATCAAATAAACAAAAGAAGTTACTTTATAATTCTTTCCACAATCAACCTACTGCTATTAAATCCATCGATGTTTGATTATATCGCACAAACTGAAATACGAAGTTGAATATATCATTTTCAGTATTGCGATTTAGAAGACGTTGATTCATTGACTTTTTTAGGTTTAACCTTGTTGAGGATGGAGATGTTAAATATGATAAGGATGGATGATACATAGCTGAACTTCTTCTTGGGTTATTGATTAACGGTGATAGAATATAATGCGCTACTGGAGATACTTGACGTCTGTCTCGTTCAAGAATTTTATCTATGTTTATGTATTCGAGTGGATTATGTGAGTATTCAGGTTCATCGTTCATATCCAAGTAATCCTCATCCCAGTAACCTGTATCCACTGTACTAGGATCCAGATCAGATGACGAACTATGAAGATTGGGCTTTGGGTTTGTTACTTGTTCGTTGTCTAAGTGCGGCTTAAACGTTTCCTGAGATTAATAAAACAATAATATAAAAACTAGGGTAGTTTTCATATTGGAAAGTATAGATAAGCAGATTGATAAAATTCACTTCATCTAAATTGTAGGCCTTACCCAATACAGGCATTTGTAGACAAAACAAGTGGAAGGCAGATTATATTCGGCTAATTGCAAAACTGTAGACATCTCACAAATGTACAGCAATATAATTAAGTGTGAACTGCTTGAATTTACCCAAAACTTATCATTTTACTCTAAAGTGTATATATATATATTCGAAACAATTACTATATACTGTGCATAACGGTATCTGTGCAAAGCTGTTTTCTTTAAACAATGTAGTATCTCATTAATAGGAATGATTTTAATCTTGACATAACAAGGGGTACATCAACAAGTAACTGTGACCTTATTATATATGTTTCACTTCAGCTGTTCACTAAACACCTATGTACCAGGCTATGAGGTAAACTATACTTATGAAGGCTTGGGATACTATCAAGTTCTCTTCGACTCAAGTGAGTAAAGAAGATCCACTGTCTGGAAATTAGTGATGCATGATACTTATCTGCATGGAATCGATGCCTTATAAAAAATGCATACTCACTTCATTCAGTACATGAGTCAGCTTAATTAAAACTAATTATTAATTTCTAATTCATTCTTGACTTTCCCATTGTTTGACTGAACCGACATGTCCGACCTTTGTTGATATGTTGTCTGCTTGTGTGGATGCTTCAACGATGTCTGTGGATTGAATTGAATCTATTTGGGGGTGCAGATAAATCCAGTGACGAGTCCTGAATAGGACGAAATGCGTATCATGAATTCCACCGCTGGTCAGCATGTACCAAATTATTCTAATTAACACTAAGCTGTTCCTGTCTTACTTGCATACAATAGCCTGCTTAAATCTATGGGTTATTTGAATTTCTATCCATAATCAAATGAACTCTATTTCATAATGTTTTAAGTAGTGATAGAAGACTTAATAAGTGAGCCATGAAATCCTAAACTTCCTAAATGAAAGTTTGTGAATAAAACAAGGGAAGAGGAAAGTCACAGGATGTTTATAGATGATATTTCCCTTCTATCGTCCATCAAGGTTGAGAGAATAGCTGGAATAATTTCCTCCACATGTGGAGGTCAGGTTTTCTGGTGATGATGGCTAACACCCCCGTTGTTAATATAAAGCATATTCCAGTTCCACGTGATAGGTTACTGGGGATATAAAATGCCATCATAAACACCTGCTGTGGTTTAATTTGACGCTAACTATTCACCAAGTGAGGAAAAACTGTTCGGTTCATACACATAAACTTATAAAAACTTCATTGCTTATTGCTTAATGCGGGGTTTATTTCATCTGACGAGACCACTTTGTCAAAGTAAATGTCATTATGACTCAGGAAATTTCAGACCTCTTGAAAACAGTAGTATTTATCAAAAAATTCATCCATGCTTCTAAGAATGCTTCAGGAAATTTTTCGCGTATCGTCTAATTTCATATGATAAGCCAAGGACTTTCAGGAAAAAAGATAGTGTGATAGTGTCAAGGATCTCCCTTCTAGAAAAGCTTGATAGTGACATTCACTGTCTCTGTGATGTGTTTTCATTCCGAGTGGAAAATAGGGTTTCGAACTTCAGCTTCGAAGTTTCAGTAGCAGTGGGGTTTATTTCCTACGGCATGGAGTTGCTAGTTTAATGACCAACCTTCCATCTTTACAGGACTTACTACCTGCTAACTGATATTTAGGAGTGAGCAGGCAGGAGATCGGATACTGGACCACATGGATGGTAGGTGAGTATTCTATCGCTGAACCGCCAACGCACAGTTCGGCTTATAGTCCCTCCGAAACTAAGATTTTTGAGCTGTCTATGTTCTCAAGATCAGATGGCCAGAAAAGATCACCAACAGGGATCTCTGGGAGCGAACCAATCAGGAACCGATTGTGAAACAAATAGGCAGGAAGAAATGGAGATGGATTGGCCATACGCTGAGGAAACCATCAAGTGACATCACTAGACAAGCCCTCGAATGGAACCCGAAAGGGAGGCGGCGAGTTGGTCGTCCAAGGGTGACCTGGAGGAGATCATGCGAGGAGGAGATGAAAGCATGTGGACAGACCTGGAGCGGGGTGAAAAAGTTGTCAGAAAACCGAAGGCAATGGAGATGCGCAGCTGAAGCCCTATGTTCCTCTAGGAACTAAAGGATACAATAATAATAGTGTTCTTATCAGACAATTCATACTGTTCATTCAGTTTTAATTCCGTGAGGACTGTTGTTAACTCTACGTTGAGCATGATAAACCATAAAGTGTAGTTGAATGAACTGCCTCTCCATAAGTAAATATTATCAATTTACTGAGAATTGTTTACAATTCCCCTTTGATTTATTTTATTGGAAGGAGGGTGTCAATGGGAATACTATCAGCTACACTGGGATACAGGTTCATTCAACTGGTGAATTCCAAATAAAACTTCTAGACACTATTCATTAAATAATATTATCAGTTTGCTTTGTCTCAAATTTAAACAGCATTTCACTACTTTTCTTGTTACTAAGGCTAATAAACAGGTGGTTAAAATAATGTTCACACGTATCTAAGACAAATTCATGCCTGTATGACCAACATCATGAAATTTGACTACTCACTGTCAGTACTGTATCCATTTTATTAACTTGAGGTGGAATTTCACAACGGTCTAGTTAACTCATTCAAGTTGTCAAATTTAAAATCCACTTATATTCTGAATATTAAGGCAACTAAATTGACTGCACCTGTACTTCGAAACCGACTGTTACTTTTCTCATCTATTTTGTAAAGAGGTTAGAAATAACTCCGTATAAAGTGAACGATGTTAACTTTGAATGACAAATACAAGTACACAGCATTAAACATAGCAACACAATTTTCCCCTTAGGCTTTTAAATTCAACTTAAATAAACAATGAGTACAACTCACACTTATTGTTAAAATACTCACACAGAATAAGGATTTGACCTTTATACAAGCACTTAGGAAATAATATTCACATTTTCGTGAAATCTGATAGAATTTGACACTGGACAAGTACGATAATCCTCTTATTCATAATACTGTTGTCAGATTAGTTGAACTACGGGTTATTGACAGACAATCTTCTCTTCTACATAGGACATTCAAAAGACAAAGACCGCAAGGCAGCATCATTTCATAAACTGTCTACAGTCGCCTTACAAATAGAATGGCTGACTATAATAAGATGTTTAACAATCAATCAATAGTATGAGATAAAAGTGCATATTAATATTCTATAGTTTGGTTTGTAAGGATTAGTTATGTTTTACGAGTTGATCACGGATTGATATCAGTTAGAGAACCATTGAAAACCAGGGAGTACTGGACAGCTGCTGCATATTAATAACAAGTTATAACCATCAAGGGGAGGCAAAATTTGTCAACTGTATTAGTTGTAACGTGATTGTGGGGTAATTACGACATGATTTCATCCAATAATGTCTTGATTATTCCTTACTTTAGATCCACGGAAGAGAGTGACTTTGTTGTTTCTGCCCTTCTGACTGAATTACTTATACAGAATCTAACTAGCTCATCTTCCGGCCCTTTTCAGGTTAATTTGCATCTCCCATTGATCAATTGTTGGACAGAAAATCTCGACTGGACAAGGGGTGGTCCTAGTAGATAATGCTTGAACGTTTGAAACAATGGGTGCTGGGTTCCAGTTTCAGTGGGGACATCACCAATCACTAGGTATTCAGGCACTTCCAATTAATGACTCCTAAAATGGATCGATATACGTACCCTGGATTCCACTGCTAGTCAACACCAACCAAAATAACATATGATATTTATGTTTGTCTTCATCTGCTTTCGCTTAAGTGTATACATTGGGAATTTTGTTGCCTATTTGTTTGCTTGTTAAAGCTGAATCCAATTCTCTAAATTCTGTAGATGCTTCTTTCGAACTGCTGTTAGACTGCTGTCCTTCACTATGGTGTGATGTTAAAGACCCTTCCGGAAAAGCAAATTCTAGTTCTGAGTAAGCTATTGTTACTGGGTTATTCAAATTTTAAATATATTTGCTTAAATTATCAAAGATGCTCATGTTATTTTCTGCTTAACATGAGAGTATAACGGTAGCTCTGTGGACAAAGTAAGTAAAACAGTTCCGACTAATTCAAACACGAGTGCATCAGTGGTTGAGTGGTAGAACGATTGAGTAAGCATCTACGGGGTAATAATGAAGAATGTACCACCTCTTAATTCCCAAGAGGACTAATGAAGGTTTTCAGATCTTAACGAGGAATGTTATAGAATTAACACCTGAAGGTAGTAGAAAAACAGAACTATCAGAAAAAACGTATACTTAAATCGGAAACTTATAAGGAATTTCTTGTTTCCATAACATTCTTATCACTGGACATATATAAAACTTGATTGACCTTCACTCCAACCAGCAAGACAACAAAAGTCAGTTAGTCGTAGCTTGCATTCACTGATCAATATATTATTTTGATGATCTATCTCCCGTATAAAGCGTCGGTGACAGAGCGGACGCTTGCCGACCAAGCACATGGTCGTGGGTTCGATTCCCGGACGACGCACTCCTATACCTCGCTAAGCCAGAAATAATGCCGGTAAAGAGGGAAGGTTGGGCATGGGGTTAGCGACCCCATCCTGTAAAATTAAACACTGCTACAGAAACTTCAGGTCACTAGCTTGAGGCCCTATGTTCCACTGGAAACGTGAAGGAAAAATTAAATTGATTAAATCTCCCGTATAAGGTTTCAGGACCAGTTTGGAAATCTTCTGCAAATACTCAGCATAAACAACTAGATTCGGATTTTCAACACAAATGTGAAGTCAGTCAGTCACTTCTTCTATATGGGTCGGAAATTTGCACTCACGAAAAGGATTTCCAACAGGCCACCGCAGACCTTCATCAGCAACTGCCCACTTCAGTGGCTATATATTGAAGATCCAATGACCAACTAGCCGGCCAGCCAGAAAGAACTAGCGACAGGAAACTCTGGCTGGGAACAAACCAACCAAGAGCCGATTGTTCAACAAATATGCAGGAGAAAATGGAGATGGGTAGGGCTGAAACTGAGGATACCGTCAGATAACATTGCGCAAAATACAGGCCGTTACTGGAGTGAAAAGTGAATGGAAAGTAACGAGTGAGTCACCGGTGAGAGAATGATACGGAAGAGATCGTGTAGTGGGGATGAGATGAGAGATAATGCGCAATGGTGGACCCAGCTGGAGATGGTCAGCAGAGAATAGAACGAAGTGGAGATATGTTGTTGCAGCCCTATATTCCACTCGGAACCCAATGGAAAAATAAATAATAATGATAAGGTTTCCGAATTTCCTCCTAGAGTCTTCATCATCTCTTTCTTGTTAAATGATATATGAATAAAACAGCTAGACTACAGATTAAATCTTTCCCAACAAGATTAAAGACTTTGAATTGAATTAATCTACCAGAATACACACACATCGAGGTTGAAATACTACCATATCAGGATATTATTTTTTCGTTAGTGAGACACTGAGAAAGCTTCGGGATTTGGAAAACTGCTAATGAATAAATGAGTGGTGACGGAGAGTGAAATATAAAATTTGTGCAATGGCGTGATTCACATCAGCAGCTCCCTACCCCACCCTGAATTACTAGCCTCGTAATCCCGAATGCTTCCTAACCAAAAATTAATGAAAACATGTTCTTTTTAACCATTTTGAAAGGTGAAATACTTGACTGTTTTATTGACATATAGGAAGAAATTCATTTCGTACGTTGTTTTGTTTGTATAGTCCTCAGTGTTATACAAGTGATCAACATATCACTTACTCTTTACCAACTCTGAGACTGATTTGCATTGACAAGAATTGGTCTAATATCATCAAATCAGTGTGCACTATGATGGTGAACTACCTAGAATAGTGGCCATATTGCAAACCTGACTGATAGAATTCAGTGTACACAAATGAGAGGACTAGACACGTCACACTAATCACTTTTGTCCAATGAAAAAGTCTAGTTGTGTATCCTGTAGTGCTAATGTCTAACAGGTCATACGACAAGGCCACAAAATAAGTTATCAATTATAGTTCAGAATCTAAACCCCTGTGCTTATTCTACAACTTATTTATTTCCTCTGAAATCAAAGATGAAAACATGTGATGAACACTTGTCTGAGTCCACCTCATGAGAGTGCTTGTGTGCTTTGCCTTCGTTTATTCTACTATAGTATGACTGCATTATTTTATCCAGGGTATATCTTGGTGTCTATATCGTATTAAGTTTACCTTTAAACAACTGAAAACTTCATGCACAAATGGAAAATATGCATATTGTATTTTGCAGAATCTTGTTAATGATTTGACTGATGTTACCGCTTAGTACGATTCCAAAAATTTATTACAGTCCATTGTAAAATAGAGTGCTATTTTGAATTCAGTAATTATAATTCCTCAATATTTTGAAAACACAGAATTTTCCAGTCTTCTGTCGACAAATGCTATGCATGAAACATCTTTGACGTCAGAAAAGTGTAAATATATGTGTTACAGCCTACAAACCACCTTGTCTATCTTGACATTTGTATTTGCAGATTACACAGCGAACACCACTTATTTTTTCACATCAAAATATAAGAGAGATATTCACATTGTAATGTAGCGTTAAGACTCGATAACCTCGTATTTGTTTGAATTTTACTAACCTTTAAATGAGAGGTGATGATCAATACGGTAAATCAGTAAACAGTGTCTTTTGCATGAATTAAACTCGCTTAAATAATCCGATGAGATCATTTAAGCACAAAATAAAATCAAGGCAAGCCTCGTCACGAATCAATATCAGTCAGAGAACTAGTGAGAAACTAAAACGAAATGGGCAGCCGTTTCAGCAGTGCGCAGTCACCCAAGAACTTTAGGTTACAAGGCCAGTCAATTTACTACTCAGTTATTTGTCTGAAATCCAATGACCTATGAGTTTCAGCTTCTGCTGTCCACGTGGTATTCTACTCATCCAGTGGCATCAGCAAGCATCTGTCTTCACACTATACTTGGCGGATCACAAAAGTCATGATTTCAAGTGCTGGGTTCATTGTAGAGACTCGCTTCGCAACATGAAAGCCACAGTCTTGATCCATTATAAGGATGTTGGCCGTGCACTGCTGAAGAGTTCCCAACTCTAGGTTGAAACAGCCATCCAATTCTCTCAAACTGACACTGGTCTGTGATAAAACCCACCTTGAAATCAGTCAAATCTTTATAATGCAGCACTGAAAACCAAAGTTGGAAATTGAAATTTTATTTAACATATGTGTTATTCAAATCAATAAGCCATTATATACCTAAATATGTCCGGAAATAAACCTGTTTGGAATTCTTCATTACCTAGTGAATTTAGGAGTAAAATTTCACAAGGAACATCGAATTACAATTACTTCTCCTCTATTAAAATATTTCCCATTGCCTGTAGCATTCACAGAATATGTTTAGAATGTCATCCATACCTGAACCTGAAATCGGAATTCATCTGATTTTTCTCTAGGTTAGTGTGACCTCAGTTTTCCTTCCAACCTGCATTCACATTTTTCAACAAAAATCGATATTTCAGACGAAACACACTTCTTTAAGTATCAGTTAGCAATTTCCTGTCGCATTCAAATGAGAAAAAATAAACCTACTTCTGATATCATTCTTCAGAAATGAAATATCATTGGTTCATTTGAACATCGGGCATACTGTTTGAGGTATTACTTCAGGTGAAACCTATTATCTGAGTTATACGTCAGTATTATAGCTCCATCAACGAAATACAAACTGGTGGTTCTTTAGTCAAGGGTTCATATCCAGTTAAGACTAAGGTAATCTTGATTCGATGATAATAGATGGCTGGAGGCAGTCGGCTTCAGGAAGCCTTGGAACTAGGTTGCGTGCTGGTTGCCACTCACCAGTCAACAAGGTGCATCTGCAGCCTTGAAAGAATTAATGTCCCTTCTGAGATGCGAACCTGCGTCACCGAATGCTGAAGTCAGAGACGTTGCCACTGAGCTATTTGGGTTCATGACTGACCTCCTGTAGGACTGTATTGAATACTTTTATTGAACACTAGTAACTAGTGTGATGGTGTGCGTCGGTGGCATAGCGGTTAGGACGCTCGTCGACCATGCACATGGTCGTGGGTTCGATTCCCGGACGACGCACTCCTATACCTCGCTAAGCCAGAAATAATACCGGTAAAGAGGGAAGGTTGGGCATGGGGCTAGCAACTCCATCCTGTAAAATTGAACACTGCTACAGAAACTTCAGGTCACTAGCTTGAGGCCCTATGTTCCACTGAGGAACGTGAAGGGAAAAAAAACTAGTGTGATGTGTCTGGTCCTTTCTTCGGTGCAGACTGAACTCTATCGTTCGGGTTTGCAATGTGGCCACTATTATAGGTAGCTGGCCATCGCGGTGCACTTTGAATTGTTGATATTAGATGGTTGGAGGCGGTCGGGCACAGGAAGCCCTGCTTGAGCTAGGTTTCGTGCTAGTTGGCACTCGTCAGCAACACTCGACACTAGTTACCACTGTTCAATCAAATTAAGATAATCCTTTACATTAACTCATCAAGTCTTCAAATGGCTTGCTGGAAAGTACACTTTGAAGATATACAATGAAAAAGATATCCGGTATAACAACTTGTAACATTATAATCACTTACATCATAATTATTCTTTTGATTGTGCACTTTTCTCATAATTCTATTTTCAAACCAATCAGAACTCCAAGAATTTTTCATTGTATTGTGTTGTTGAACTGGAAGATGATTCACACTGGATGTGTTAGCAATATCCATTGAATAATTCCTAGGATAATTATCATATATTTTGGTAAATTCTTTGTTTTGTTTTTGTGTATAATTCGGTTCATACCTTAGGATATTTTGACCATTTACACTAGATGATATTTTGAATTGATCAATAATTTGCGGTAGTATAATTGTTAATAAGCATAAATAAATGAACATTGAAAATTGTTTAATTTGTATGTATTTATTAGCCAAACATTTAAAAGTATCTTTAGTAGTAAACATTGTCATTGTGGTTGCTTGCTTTTAGCGAATGTGCATGTTTTAATTTAAATAATACTGGAAAGAATGTGTGTACTGGTGATTTCCGTTAGATTAAAACAAAACAAAAAAAGAAGTAAAATGGTTAATCTTCAATGACATGAAAATTAAGTCTGCTTACTTGATTATTGACTTTAGAACAAAATTGTTTTAGGCACACAGAAAATACGTAAATAAGTATCTTAATAGTAAAAGATTTTTCATAACACTGTACACTACGGTATATGATTAAACAACAAAATCCGGTTTATTAGCCGTTTAGACCAATCACTGAACACTTACCACCGGCCAATCAAATTCACATATGGATTATAATGTGACTGATTAATTGACGTTAGGAAAACGTATTTAGTTTTTTTCGGATTCCCACGAACATTATAATCATACAGAATTATGAAGAATATTCAGAACTACTTTCAGTGTTTCTATCAGAACTATTACAGGCACCTTTTAGGGTACTTTCGTAACGTATTTTAGTTAGAAATTAAGTGGCTTACATACATTTAATGGGTACTTTTTGTCAAAACTGAACGAAATGATTTCTAGTAACAGTTTTGTAGTTTCTCCTTCCTCTGGCAATTCTACTCATTATAATATGTAGTAGAAAATGTGAAGTACAATCCATAAAGTACTTTTATGTTTAGAAAACTCAGTGAGAACTGAGCTGAACTGCGGCAGTTGAAGCCGCTACACTTAGTGAAAGCACATACAATGGTAGAGAAACGGAATGCAATGAAACAAGAATAAACAGAAGTGTGTAGGAGAAAGATTTAATGAATTGTGGAGATAACAAGGTGCTAAGTGGTTAGATTCAATTATCAAGAAACCTTGGACCTGTGTTTCGTGCTTATTGGCACTAATCAGCAAAGTATATCTGCAATATTGAGGGATCTCATATCCCTTCTGAGATTCGAACCCTAGTCACTCAGTGCTGACAAGTTCCAACAAGGTTTCCTGTCAATTGCCTCCAACCATCCAACAAGAATTCAGTGGGCACCGTTATGGCAAGTCACCTAGCATAGTGGCCATATTGCAGTCTTGACTAATAGAATTCAGTCTGCACCAAACGAAGGATTAGAATCATGACATTAGTTCCCATCTAGTGTTTAACCAAAATAGCATGGTTTTAATGCATCTGTGTCAGTAAGGACGACTTTGAGCTATGTTAGCAACAATCTCCAACTACTGATTCTTAGCATCCCAAAGACCCCAGCAAGGTAGTCCACATCCCACTACATCGCTCATTCTAACAACCAAAGACGTCATAGATTGGTGCTATACTTCGTTCTTACCACCTCTAACTTACTTTCGAGCCAATCCTGAATTAGATAAAGTTGCTAGTTGAGGAGGAAGGTGGCTTGACATATGTATCAAGTGTTCCAGTCATCTGAACGTAGACAGCTTCTCAACTTCACTGACTGACTTGCGAACCTCAGTATTGCTTGTCATATTACACCACTTAGCACGAGAAGTCTAATGTAAGTCAAAACGGTTAATCTGTTTATATCTTCTACTTCCAACACACTTAACGAACAGTGGTGAAGGGGGATGGAGTTAATTGCTGCACATTATAGGCGTCATTTAATCGATAGTTAGTTACTACCTCTACTCCAAAGATGACACAAGCTAAGAAATACAAATACTTAACGCAATTACATCCGATTTTGAAGTAAATCCTTAAATATAGATTATTGACCGTGGATCAGATATATCAGCACTACTACACAGTTAATGCAGTCCTATGAAGATTAGTTGAAGCCTTAATAGCCAAGGCTTAAATCTTCTCATTTCACTACTGAGAAAAGTTGGTTCACCTTTTAAAAGGAGAATTACTACGACAAACTTTTATAATTGGGGTAAATGGATCTATACAACATAAGAAAAGAGAAGCAGATAAGTCATATCAGTTGTAAACATAAAGGGAATTAGGCGGTGTGAGTGAGCCAGAGCAATATTTACCGATATCTTTGTGAATGTAAATGTTAGATTTCAAGTAGTAAGTAGTTATCGATTGTGAAAAGCAGAGAAAGGCCGAATTCCTTTAACGATCCGCTAATCTGAGGAGTATATTCATCTGTAATGTATTTTTTGAGTTTCTTAAATACTGTATACTAAACTTCCCCGTTTTCCAGCTGTATGCATGATGAATATTAGTAGATTGAAGTGAAAGGACTATATAACTGACAGCCGGGCTTCGTAGCTCAGTTAAAATAGCCTAAGGCTAGTTACTAGGAGGCCTCATATGATGAAATAAGAATAAAACTTGTGCATTTTGGTAGAGTATAATTCCATTATGGGTGAAATTTATTGTGCTCGAAATGTTATTAGTAAATATTATTGATTTAATACTTGGTGTAATACACAGCAGACGCTGTCCTACATCACTAGTTGCAGAAAGACATTTTTGTCAAGCAACTTTATTTGTCTTGTGTATCAGAATGTTATGCACATTGCATTGTAAAATTCTTATTTAAGCTACCAGAAATTAACGCCATACAACTTTTATCTCACTTCAAATGACGACAGATTGCACCTCAGTATGTTATTTGATGCAAACAATGCTGGTGTTTTAATAAATAGGTAAAGTTTGAGTATTTAGGTAGGTCTGAGATCAGTTTCTTGGTTCCTAGAACTGGATTATCTTCAGGGTGAGAACTGAATAGCATTAGTTCATGCGATAGAACACCTTCTTGTTTCTGTAGTCCCTGTCCAAAATAGTGTCCTGTGTGGTTCTTTTCCATTTGTGGAGCCATAGCTTGTTGGTTTGTATGCTTGAATTTCAACCTTTTAGCTCCTCAACTCAGTCTCACTGCATTTTCAATGATTTATAAAGGTAACATTAATCATTACAATTGTTTCACTTGTAATGTGATGCTCAGTCCTAATCGTCCTTACAATAGTGTTCTGCCTTACTGGTCATTGGTGGATTTTGTTTTCAGTTATACTCCATCTAGACTGTATCCTGTGTCTCGGAGACTGTTTTGTCGTTTTGTACCTGGTAATAATAGCACCATTCCCATTTCGTTCTGCTTGTAATTATTTTTATAGTCACCAATGTAGTTCATTCAGTTAACATGAAATTGCTTGCTAAGTCATGATTAGTAACAGGTGGCTTGTTGCCTTGGGGATTATCTTTTTCGTCAATAACTCAGCTGACCTTTACTAAGTTATATGAAAGTCGGAGAGATTTAAAGCACTTAAGTGTTGTCATTTCCTAATACTTATTTCATCAGTTCGTGGCAAAAGTAACTACTCGATGAATTAGGTTGTCCATTCTTCCTACTGAGTAAGAAAATTAAAATATGCGTGCTACCGGATACGCGTCTCACTCAGCTTGTCATCAACTTTCATTTGAAGGCTTAATTAGTTTATTTTCTTATGATTCCATCATTTTATGAGAGGTATTTGTGTCTAAAAGTTCACTAGTAGCGTCGCTTTTAGTGGTAAAAGGACAATCCTGTGGTTTTGTATTTTTGAGTTTGCGGTTGTTTGAACGAGAAGAATAATGCAGCTCACTAAAATGTTGGCTATTTACTCTTGATAGTTGTATTGTGAATTTGATAGGTGGTCATTTACTGATGGCTAAAAAATAAGACATTTGAATGTCGCATGTACGTACGTTGAAGTCGTTGTTCTTCTTTTATAGTCTATCAGTGTAACCGTCAGGATTTTAAGTCTACAGTATGAAACAGTAGAATTTGTTTCGACAAGTAAATTTCTCATTTCAAAATTGTATGTCTTTTGACCATCCGCATAGCTGCAAACATGGTGCGTCGGTGACACAGTGGTTAGGACTCTTGCCGATCATGCACATGGTCCGAGGTTCGATCCTCTGCCGACGCACACGTGATATCTATTGTTGGCCTGCAAAATTTGGGCTACCGATATCTATGCTGAAAATTCCATACTTGTACCGAAAATACTGTGTGGAATCAAGCTATGATCAAAAATATAAAAAAATAAAAAAAATAAAACACTGTAATTCATGTGATGAAGTTAATTACAGTTTTATTGGAACATCTGTGAGTCAGTTCGGCAGTGGAAGGCTCTCCAGCTACACCTCACGTTGTTCGGGGTTTGATCCTCGGCTGATGCACTTCTAAACCTCTCTAAGCCGGTAGTAAGGCCGGTGGAGAGGGAAGGTTAGGCGGGAGTTTAGCAAGCCTACCCCTAAAAATGAAACCACTACTCTCGGAACTTCACTTCTGAAGCTTGAAGTCCACTAGGAACCAAAAAAATATCGCTGTTGAAACACCGCCTCGTCACTGTTGTTGGATTTTTGTCGTTTCTTATATAATTTATCTGGATCATTACTTCCGACTAACGTCTACAAATTTTATTCATGATAACTCCTTACTTCGCATTTTGATGGCAGATACTTCCGGACTGTTTCAAGTAACATTCATTTTCAAACTTTTGGATGCTGGAAATTGAAAAACTATGAACTTTTAACAGCTTACAGTCCTGAATTTCAGCTATCAAAAACACTTCAAGCGATTAAAATTGTGTTTTACCGTATACAATATTTGTTATTCGAGTGTGCGCTTAAGGACATAGGGTTCTCTTTACATTAACAGTAACCAATATTCTCACCAGTACAGTGATAACAAGTACTATTTTCTGAAGAAATATCATGCTAATTCACATCTTGTTCATCTTTTCATGGTCAAATCAGCGTTCACCTCAGTTAAATCAACTAGTGAATAAGATATTCAGACTGGCTGATAATATTAACGATTTTCAAAAACATTCTGTTAGGAAAGAGTTTTCGAGATTGAATTTCTTAATCACATATTTGCTAAAAAAAAAGAGCCAGTGGGCACCAGTCACCACCAATGGGAGAGATTTAACAGAGGTTGCCTCCTTCACTTATCTAGGCAACCAGCGTCGTTTCAACTAAAGGTGGAACGGAAGAAGATGTCAAAGTCAGAATCGGAAAGGTAAGATACGCCTTCATCAACCTGAAACCAGTCTGGGAGTCTTTTACACTAATTCAACATAAGGGACAAGATTCAAATTTTCTACACCAATGTGAAGTCGGTTCTTCTACACGGGTCAGAAACTTGCACTGCGTGACACGAAAAGGATTTCCAACAGGTTGCAGACTTTTATCGACATCTGCCTTCGCTCCATATAGATTAATAAATGGCCAGAAAAAATAAGTGACGAGAAACTCTGGGAACAAACCAACTAAGAGCCGATCGCTCAA